GTCTTGTTTAAATGACTCTATGTTTTAGTCTTTACTGTAGCTTAACCTGTGATCTAATACATCCCAGTAGAGGAAACAGCTTGTGGAAAGTTCTGAAAATGCCACTGGCATTAAATGAAAAAAAAAAAAAAAAAAAGATGTGTCCTGGGCTAATAATTTCTAAAGCCTTTTAGAAAATAAATTCCTGAAAATTTAGAATTTAAAGGTATTCCCATAAGGGTAGGTGACTTGTCCAAGATCTTACAGTTGGGAATAGACAAAAGCATGGATCATTGTTTTATCTATCACACCACAGGAACCATCAATGAGAAACATAATATCTTAAAAGGCACCTCAACAGCCTTTTAGAGCACTTGACTGACTTCTTCCATAACAGCCTCCAACTTTAAGGTGAAGGAGGTAGATTGAAGGTAATGGGTAGAACCTAAATATCTAAATATAGCCAGGAATAATACTGGAGACAGCAAGCAATAGAACCACGTTTTAAAACTGACTGGAAATGATTTTAAGCTAAAATTCAACCCTAACTGAATTATTTATCAAATATGAAGGCATCATAAAGACATTTTTATTCACGGAAAGTCTCAAAAAAATTTACCTCCTATAGTTGATATTATTAGTAGCTCATCCAAAATCTATTCTGCCCCTAAGGAAACTCTAATTTTGTAAGATACAAACTCCCTAACCATTTAACTTAGGAAATAGTGTCCTCATACACAACTATAAAAGTAGATCTTGATTATTCCAAGCCAATTAAGGCCATCCCTGCTTCTAGGGACTGGGTTAAGAATGAGCATGGGATTCAGTTCTGACAAGATGGAACAAGATGCTAAGGGACATCTGAGAAGGGTTTCCTTGCTTCTCCAAGAAAGAGTCACAGGAAATGCTGGTCCCTTTAAGGAGCTCTGGTGGTGCTGTGGTTAAAGCATTGAGCTGCTAACCAAAAGGTCAGTGGTTCAAACCCACCAATTGTTCCATGGGAGAAAGATGAGGCAGTCTGCTTCCGTAAAGATTTACAGCCTTGGAAATCCTATGGGAAGTTCCTCTCTGTGCTATAGGTTTGCTATGAGTCAGAATTGACTCAATGGCAGTGGGTTTTGGTTTCTTCCTTTAGACATATCATTTCTGGATATGATACCTGAAGTAATTATCTTGCCACTAAGCCTGATAAAGCTAGTAGGACTGGAAGGCAGAGCCTGGACAACTGCAAAGAGGAGCTGTACCCCACTCTTCCTCTAAGGGTCCTATAATGTGAGATTATATATACATATATACATCTATTCCTCACTTATGATCTAGTTATCTGACATTTTGCATTTACAACAATAGTAAATCTACTATCTGACTGTTTTGCACATTCATGGCATACATCATATAGTAATGAATGCCAAGGAGCAAAGTACTGTGTAATGGGACTATTTCCTAAGTTAAATGGTTAGGGAGTTTGTTCCTTACAAAATGAGTGCTGCCTGTGATGGTTAAGGTTATGTGTCATCTTGGCTGGGCCAGGATTCTCAGTAGTTTGAGAGTTATGTAATGATGTATTTTAGCAGTCATATAATGATGTAGTCATCCTCCATTTTACGATCCGATGTGATCATCCTCCAT